GGCCAGGAGACACCTCCACAGCCGAAGTTGTGCCTGGCTCCTGCAGTGTCCAGAGTTCATCTGCCAGGTGGTGCCAGGGTCTCACCAGGTCTTCAGCCTCCTTTCAACACAGTTAGCTCTTAGATGGCCGATTAAATGCATTTTCAGGACTACAGCAGTTAAATACAGCTCCAAAGTAGGTTCCTGCGCTGTCATGCTTGTAGCAGGATGCTTTGTACCTGTGTGCTGTAGGAGCGGCTGGAAAGAAGCCTAAAACAGGATGATGGTAGTTCCCCGAACACCTATTGTTGCTCTTACGCGCTCCCCTGTCCCTTCCGCGCCTCGGCCCCTCTTCCTTACACCCGTGCCAGGAAAAGCCGACCCAGTCTCTGTAGGCCGGCATCTCCTAAAGCCATTTTTCCACGGGGAAAAGTTAGAAGATGATGCCCCAAGGCGGGACAGTGTTTTTTTGCTCTGTTTTGTGAGACGCGAGTAGCACCCAGCAGGCTCCCTTTGCTGGGGAGCTGGCGCTGGGGCGGCTCAGCCGGCGGGGCGGCAGCGGCCCCGCGCTCTGCGCTTCCGCCTGACCCCGCCGGCGGCGGGCGGAATTCCCGCAGCCGCTTCCGCGGGAAGCGCCGCCCCTCGCGCATGGCGGCGCCCCGGTGTCCCTGAGCCGAGGGAGGGGAGTGGCGGCCGTCCGGGGCTGCGGCGAGCCCGGCTCCCCATGGCGCTGAGCAGCCGCCTGCTGCTGGCGGCCGGCGGGCTCCGTGCAGCGGGTAAGCCCAGGGCTCGCCGTGCCCGCCCTTCCCGGCGGCGGCTCCGCGACCCCCGTGGTCCCGGCGCCGTCCGGCGGTGCTGCTGTGCCAAGGATGAAGGGTTTATACCGTGTTGTTTGGTAGCGCTGTCTCTGGTTCCTTGTGTACTTCGCTTTCAGTGTTTCGTAAAGCTTTGGTCCTAGGGATTTCCTAGTCACACGTGAGTTTATATTTTACATATGAGTTTAGAAACGAGTTTAGTATACTTGCAGTTCACCTCATAAACTGGGGAGGCAGGTTGAGGTCTTGTCATTCATCTGTTAAATGCTTAAAAAAGTAAAAGCAAGATGATTCTGCTCTGCTGAGTTCTGTAAGCTGTGTCATTCTGTACTGTCTCCATTCTGCTGTCTGCACTACGTGTTTTTTTAATCTTTGGTGGCTTTTTATTTCCTCTCCCCCCGCAAGGTCTTCGTTTTGCATCAACTACAGCCAGTCCCAAAACTGAGACTGAAGTGGACACAAATGAAAATGAGGTTGTTGCCCCAAACTTCACTAACAGAAATCCTCGGAACTTGGAGCAGTTGGCCCTGGCTAGGAAGGAGCGTGGCTGGAAGACAACATGGCCAAAGCGTGAGTTCTGGCACAGGTGAGTCAGGAAGTTACTGCCAGAAATGAAGACCCCAAAAGAAAAAAAAAACAGAACAGACCCCAGAAACCCACATACAAAATGTGTGTTTTGGGTTGCTGAATCAGTTAATTAGTTTCTTAATCAGCAGGCATCTTCTGTGTTCATAGAAGAGTGGACTAGTAGCACGTGAAAGCATATGTGGTCAAGATTTTCCCCTCTGTTGTTAAAGAAACGGTAATTGTTGCTTAAGCAACAGCTTTTTAAGTCGAGATTCTCTCACTCCTGTGCTTACCATGCTTCCTGATTTTATTTGAGGCACCATAAGAGTCTGTTTGGGGTTGTTTTATGTTTGTGGGTTTTGTTTTAATTTTCTTGTCCTCTGGAAAATTAAGTTCATTTTAAGCTGGCATTTCAAAGTCTTGATTTTGTTCTTGTAGGGAGAACGCCATCCATTTTGTTCATACCAGGAAAGCCGATACTGTCTCAGGGCAATAACAAATAGTTGTTCCTAATAAGTATTCTTTTTATGTGTGGACGCTTATGAGGTACTTTCTGACTACTTGCAGATCTTAACAAGTTGTTACCTGCTATGTCAGCTCAAGCTTTTAAGGGACTGCTTAGTGACCCTAAAGTTCCATTTCTGTTGGAGCAGTTCCCCTCATATATTCTGTTCCACACTGCACAGGTGTACAGTGCTTAGTTTGGAGTGGGTGCTGGTCTGAGGCAATGTAGGACTGTGGCCCTGAGTAACTGGTGGAAAGCTGCTCTTGGAATTTCACTCTTCTAGTAATAGGAGTTGTGTGAGTTGACACAAGCAGCAGCTGTAACGACCACAAAACTACGGCTAAAATGCAAAGAGTACATTTATTTAATTACCTTGCTAACTGAAGGATCTCAAAACAACACTCAGGTGGAGACACATGGCACCAGTCTGTGCAGGTGGTGAGCCTGCTGTTGGCACCCATTTATTAGGGGTGTTTAGGTTTACCATCATGCTGTGGTCTCCCTTGCTTTTCATGATCTCTGAGCTTTGATCTTCTGTCTGTCAGAACAGGGAGATCAAGCACGTCCATGAGAGAGTCTCCAAGGCTCTTCAAACACCTGTGTTATCTCTACACAGAGATTCTACTCCTCAAAACAGACAGAGGATAAACAGCAGTAGGCATAATACATGGGGTTTTCCACAACGTTATCCTCCAGGCCTTGGCATTCCCAGATGCAAGGTCACTTGAGCAAATCCTCCTCGCCATTCTTCCACTTTTATCCCTTTCTTTCCAACATGAGTCCTCTCTTGTGTCTTAATAAGCAAAGCATATATATGATATAATGTGTATTAATACATTCAATTTTATTTCATAAAGAGAGTAATTTAAGCATTTGACTGTGTTCTCTGGAGAAGACATTATAATCCTCTCTTATTTCTTTCCCGCACTCAGATTGCGGCTTGAGCGGACACAGCATTACGTAGAAGCCTTTGTTGAGCGCTCCAACGGGGATGTTGTGGTATCTGCCTCTACCCGAGAGTGGGCCATAAAGAGACACTTGTACAGTCCCAAGGGAGTGGCTGCATGCAAAAACCTTGGCCGTGTGATGGCACAGCGCTGTTTGGAAGCAGGAATCAACTTTGTGAACTTTAAAGCCATTATCCCCTGGGAACACCATTGTGACTCGGCAAGTACCCATCTCCTTATTCCTTTGGCCCTTTCTTCCTTTTTAGGCATTAATTTTATTTCTCTTCACCATTAATTTTCTCATGTGGCTTTACAATCCCTCCTTGCAACACTCAGAAGGGCAGCTTTGACAAGCTGCAGTTCCTGGTATTATGCTTCTGTGAGGCTGTTAACCTCTGTTCCTTCATATAACGTGTCCCCATTGATATTTAAGTCTTGCTGACTTTTTAAAAATTTTTTTTTTCTGTCTTTTAAACAAGATTCAGGAATTTGAGAAAGCTATGGAGGAGGGTGGTGTCGTTCTGCGTGAACCACGAAGAATCTACTAGTAAAATGCAGACCATTGGGAAAGCTTTCCAAGGAACAAAGATCACTTCTTTAGGTTTGTGTACTGGCAGAGGGAAGGTCCAGAGATGGGAAAAGTTTGAATGTGTCATCTTATAATAAAATATTTTCAAAGGTATAGAAGTCTGTCATATTCTTTACTCTAAAATGATCAACACCTTTAAAGCTAGAATAAACTTACCATAGTTCAGCTTGATAGAATTTATTAATAATTCAGCGTTTTAAAAATATATTTTACTTTTAATATTTGATTTTTTTGTTGTTGTTCCAGCCTGAACTCTGGAAATGCTTTGATACTTGATCCCTCTACACTGCCAGTCTAACCTAGCAAAGTGTAGTCATTACATGAATGTAATGTGCAAATCTTGGTGAAAAGATTAAACTCCCACCGACTCATCTTTGCACCCTTCTTGCAATCCTGAGATTCCAAGTGCTTAACCACATGGGTTAGGGAGCTGCATAGATGCGTGCTGTAGGGAATAAGAAGCCCCATTCTCCCCGTGTGTCTGCGTGCTGCTTGGCACAGGCTGGTGCTATCTCTGCCTGATGGCTTTGCAGAGCTCCCTAGTACGACCAGGCTGTGAAATCTCCACAGACAGTGTGTTGTGTGCCTGACAAGTTCAGGGAGGCCAGCCTGGCCAGTGCAAGTCCCGTACCTGTGTCCCGGTGCTGTACCTGCTGCCCCGTGTTTGCGGGCTCTGGGGCAGAAGGGAACGTTCAGCAGCGTGTGCGGTGAGCCCGGCCTGGTCCTGGAACATCAACTCAGTGTTCAACTGACATAATGAAAAAACTCTGTTTTACTGGATTTTTACCTAGTTGTTGGTTCATAATAATAGCAACTCTCAGACAGTGACGGCCTCTGTGCGATCTGTACTTCTGGCAGTAGGAGCTGCCCCTGCGCTCCCTTTGAGCGCGGGCTGTGCCGGGCGGCTTCGCAGCCTCTCCAATTTCCAGCCTAAACCTCCCAGTCCTTTGCTCCCGCCGCTCCGGTCACGCTCGAAGCTCCCGTGGTGCTCCTTTTCCCACGCCTTGCTGCGGATGGGGCCCGCCCCGCGGGGCACGCAGGCGCGCCGGGCCGGGCCGGGCCGGGCCGGGCCGCGGCTGGGCGGCGATGGAGGTGGGCGCCGAGAGCTTTGCCCGCTGCCTGCCGCGCCTCAGGCGCCGCATCCTCCGCGCCGCTTTCGTGGGTGAGCGTCTGGGAGTTCTCGTCAGCCCCTGCCCGACACAGGGATCTGGGCGCTGAGGGGTACTGCAGCCGGTAATGGCGCTGCTGCGCCCTCGACAGGGATCGCTGAGGCGCGGGATTCAAACAGGCAGCAAAGGCTGGAAAGGGAACTGGGTGCTGGCCTCGGCTCGGCGGGCTGGGGCCCGCGGGTGTTGGGGGTTCGGGTGGGGGCATGAACACAGTGCAGGGTGAGGCAGGCCCCTCCTGAGGGGAAGGAGTGTCCCGGCAGCATCCTGCCGCAGGAATGAGGCAGCTGGAGGTGTAAGCCCCGCAGCTTTTTCTCTTGAGTCTGCTTCCTGTGGTTTGACAAAGGTTACGGTGAGAAGTGTTGGAGAGACCCCGGTCCTGGTGCTGGTGAAGCGCATGCCTCAAATTTCAGATTCTCTTGTGTTGTTTTCACCTCAACAGCCCTTGATATGGAGTTTACTGGTTTGCATTCAACTTCCCTACAAAACAACGAGCCCAGGTAAAGCTGTTGGACTTGAAATGTGAGGGAGACTTATTGCTCTAGCCCTGTGAGAACAACCTGTGCATAGCAACCCTTCATGTGTCTGCTCTCCTTTCCCCAATTCTGTTTTTGTTCCCAGCCTGTTTGACTCCCCTGCAGAGCGATATGTGAAGGCCAGGCAGAGTGTTCAGCGTTTCACTCTTGTCCAGCTTGGTAAGTGTGGTTCTGACACGGAAAGTGGTTTCCTGAGGTTGTACAGGTAACTGGCCTTTTGCTAACAGATGCGTCCTCCAGGTGGCTCTGGCCTTTATTCACTCATTCCAGAGACGTTTTCTTCTTGTATTTCTTTTTCCCCTCTGATGTTTAACGCTATCAGCTTTTCAATAAATAATCTAAAGTCACGTGGCCTATATAGTTTTTACTGGTCTAAAGTTGACCATATTTAAAGGTCACAGTTAAAAATATAAGGCTTTTAAATCAGAGGATGCAAACATATGACGGCAGCTCCTGTTCAAAGCGATGTCATTTGATACAGTGCATTATGAGTAAGGGGACTATGAGGAAAATGAAGGCTGCTATTTCTGTTATTCATAAAATAACAAATCAACGTAAGAAAGGGCCTGTGGAGGAAAGCTATTGACAGTTTAGAACCAGTAAGGAGTCAAGAATCCAGCTCGAAAACAGTTTGAAATATTGTTCAAAGTCTTGCGGTATGTAAGATCTTAATGTGCTTTTTAGGGATTAAAAAAAGAAAAAATAACCTGAGAAATAAAACCCATGTTTCAGTCTTCTCTGGTGCCCAGCTTGTTCCAAACATTATTGTGGTGTAGTTGGACCCACAGACTCATCTATGTATGCACAGTCAGAGACTCATCACCATCTCATCTCTTGCCCATTGCTCAGTCTATTTGTTATTTAATTCTGATTTAACTCCTTTTACCACATAGCAGTGAAAGCTTGTCCCGTTCAGCTCTCAGGAATTCAAGGAGTAGCCTGGCAGTTGATGCTAGGATTGGCATAGTGACATTCGTGAATGGAAAACCTATATTTCTTGAGGGGTTCCCCACATGCCTCATCTAATTTGCATACTCTCTGTAGACATCCAGCTCAACGCTGCCATCTCAACAGAGGTTTATTTCTTGCAGGGCTGGCAATATTCTCAAAAGAAAATTCAAACAAGTAAGTAGAAAAGCAGTTTTCTGTTACAATGAGGATGTTTTAGGATTTTATGCATAATTTATAACTCCGCTTTTGGGCGGAGTTACTTCTTGTAATTATCTTCTAGAGATATTTTTATTTTCATTTTAGGTATGTGGTGCATTCATACAACTTTTTTCTCTTTCCCTCAACACTGGGAATAAGGGATGTCGAATTCACCTTCTCTGCATCTAGTATTCAGTTCCTGTCTCATTATGGCTTTGACTTCAACAAGGTATGTAATCTCTGCCAGAAATGCAGAACAGAGGAAATTTGTGCAACTGCAGAAGAAATCAGATTAGTATCCCTAAATGTTTATGTTTCTGGGGTAAATAGTATCTTCCTAAAGTATGAATGCATCATGCAGTTCTTTATCAACAGGGGTGGTGAGTGCTGTTTTTTTCTGAACTAATGTAAAGGCAATAGCCACATCCTTGGCAGCCTCAGACAGATTCTCCTGTGTTTCTCTGGTTTTCTGGCCTTCTGATGTTGATGAATTTCTTTTACACTTTCTCACACTCTTTCTGGTAAACTGTATGTTTTGCATTCCTCCTTGGAGGAAGAGAAAATTGAGGGACATGTGATGAACCAATAGAGTCAAGAGGTTTCACCATCACTGTCCAATCCATGCTCATTGTTAAAATTCTATAGATAGACATGTAATGTAAGTAAAGAGGTCTTTTCCTGCTCGATTTCCTTGGAGTCAGGTGTGAGTGTCTCTCTCTCTCTCTCTCTCTCTCTCTCTCTCTCTCTCTCTCTCTCTCTCTCTCTCCCTCTCTCTCTGTCAACTGTAACACTCCTGCCTCAAAAAAGCCACCAAAACCTACTCTAGTGAGCTAAGGATTTACTAAACAGGCCCTGGTGGGTGTCTTTACTCTTGAAGGTGCAGGAATACCAGTTTACCAGCATCCCATGTATTGCCACATCTCCCTTTAAATTCAGACTCTGTTATCCTGTAAGAGTACTGTTTTGCAGGAAGCATCTGTCTTCTTGACTCTTGGAAGCATCTTATTAAAGGAAAGGTAAAAGAAAAGCAAAAAAATTGATTACAGTTAACAAATAACCTTTTCTTTCCTCCATACCTGTTGGATTGCCTACAGTTTGTTTGTCATGACTAACCTGCTAATTCTCTAATGTGCTGTGATAAAATCCAGGGGAATGTAACCAACCTGGTATTTTCTCTCCTCTCAGTTCCTCAAAGATGGAATCCCATACATGAATGAGGTACAGGAGAAGATCCTTAAGCAGCACCTCTTAGCAGGTACCTGGAAAGTCTGCAGGTGAGTACTTTTCAGAGAGGTGTCTCCTCAGTACTGTGTGCATTGCTTAGCATCACTCAGATCACATTTTGTAGAAATACTGAAACCTGTTTGTCTGAGCACCTTGCTGCCAGCTGTTCCAGCATGACATGGTGTCTGAAAGAAGATTGAGATCACAGGATATTATGTGGAGAGTTGGGTCCATGTTGGGAAAAGAAGCTTGTGCATTCCTACAGCAAAGCACAAGGCTTCACCTGTAAAGAGCATTTCTCACACTGCCTCTTTCCCCTCATCCAGCACTAGTTGTGCAGACAGGGATGTCCTGAAGAAAGCTATTGATGAAGTGACCTCTTGGATAACTGCAGCAAAAGAAGAAGATACTATGATTCTGCAGGATCTGAATGGTATGAAACAGTGCCTCTCTTAGGCACCTGTGGGCTCATCACCTGTGGCTTCATCATTTCTTATGAACCTCTGGGGCTATAACTGTACTTTCTTCTGTTAATTTGCTCTATTGGGAGGGAAAGCACCAGTGCCCATCTTTACCCCAGTTTATACTTTAGCTCTTGTCTGGAGTTAATCTCTGGGCTCTGCTTTTCTGCTTTGTTGGAGTGGTAGGTCTTTCTGAAGCAGAAGTGGATTTCTGGTTGCTTGGAGCATGCTTTGTGGTAATTCACTTCCATTTTGTGCTTCTGAGCAGCAACTGGAGAATTTGTAGTTACTCTGCATCAGGATAACATTTTACATGTTTTAAATCCTGGGTGATCTGGTTTTTTGTTTATTTTCTTCCCCTTCTTTCAGAGTTTAGTCCCTCTCATGTAGAGCAACAGGGAGCCCCATGGAGACACATATATGCCAGTGGGAATAAACAGGCCACTTACCCCCTGTGTTAGGTTTTGGGAGCACCATAGCAGAGCTGAGGAACTTCTGTGCTGACTTGAAGAACAGAGAACTTTTGCAGGGAATAATTTGTAGATTTACTCACAGAACCCAAAACTTAATCTTTTAGGTCAGAGAATAAAATATAGAAGAGGTTAGGAAAAACAGAGTATTCAAGGCTTTGTCTGTTGACTTTTTTTCCAGAGTATGCAAAAGGAGGGGTGGAGACTGTGCTGTGCTTTTTATCTGCTTTGTCAGCTAGATATGATACTGATATTTTAATAGAGTCTGGCAGTGGTGAGCACCTGTGATAAGAAAGACATTTATTTAAGTAAGCAAGAAGACTGATTCAGGTGTCTCTTTTAATGCTTTTCAGAGGAGGACTGAGTTAGGTCCTTATCAGCTGTGGAGGAAAATGCATTGGTACCCTTTGTGTGCTTGGCTTCTTGGTCTGTTGCTCTGAAACTGTCCAAAACCAGAGCGCATCTTCTTTAGTGTAGTAGCCTCCTTCCTCTTCAGTTAGTCTCTTTTCTTTTCCTCCATGTCCTTACAAAAGCTCATTTGCCTGAAATTTTCACTGATTTTTTGTGTTTTGTTTATTTCTGTGTGTTTGTGGTTATTGGTGGGTTTTGGGTTTTTTTTTGGTGTGTGTATATATGTGTCTATGTTTTTTGTTTTGTTTTCTTTCTGTCATTGCATATGTTAATGTACCAAGATCATATGTTGAGGAGTATTTTCTATATGTTGTGGTAGAAACATGTGGTCAGTTTGTCTGTCTAGAGGAATGATTGTGTTTTCTTTAGGCTTTACTGCACCTCTAAAGCTTTTACTGCCTTTTTTTTCTTTTTTTTTTTTTTTTTGTGTCATAGGCTATCATATGCTTGAAGTTCAGCTGGTTCTGAGGCAGGCTCTTGAAAATGTTTGGACAGAGCCTCTTGGAGACAAGAAGGTGAGATGGAATGTGGACCTTTTGGAAAGAGGCTTTCTCTCTGGACGTATAGGACTGGCATTCTTGCAGGGACTCTGAAATATTGCTTGTACTTTCAATGATAGGGTCGAGAAGGAGGAGACGACAACAAAGGAAATGTTGATTGTGGGATCCTAAGAAAAGGGATACAGAAAACTGAGCAACTCTGGTTTCCGTTTGTCCTGTAGCCCCAAAATCCCTTTCAGTGGAAGTGCTTGTCCTTGGAGCACTTCTGGAGGCACCCTCTCTGTGTCTTCAGACTTTATTTAAGTCCCTCCTTCAATACCTCCACAAGAATATACAGTTTTAGCATTTTTTGTGGTTTTCCTTTGCTGACTTCTGCCATGAAGTTGCTTTGAAGACTTTTACTCTGTTATTTGCTGTTTTGCTATTCACCACTGGCATTTTACATTCAGTGCAGTATTTTCTGTATTAAAACTATGGTTGTGGACTTCTCAAACTATGGGTATTAGTATGATATCAGTCAGTTGCTTAGAATTAGCTTATAGAAATCTTTTTTTTTGCCTTAGTCCTACTCTGGTCTGATAACGAATGTCCCCAGAACGTCAGATTTACCCAGCCTTCTCATCTGAAGCATGAGAAGCATTGCCTTTGGGAACTCAGCTTGTATGATTGCTGTCTGTTTCTAGGCTTTTGGTACCGTGAACTTACCATATTGTTATAAAGTTAAATTGAATTAGGTTTATTTGTGTTCCAAAAACCCTTTGGTAGGAATCATCCTCTTAAGTAGAGAAGCAAAATTAATACTCATTTTGAGCAGGCCTGTTTATTTACTGGGGCACTGATCTCCATATAGAAGTGAGACAGTTCCAAAGTCCCAAGGTGATGCTGTTTTTCTGTCCTTCAGTGCCTTGAAGCTGAATTTGACCTCAGCATTGCTGAACCCCAGTAAGCAATGCACATACCACTGACATGGGAGGCTGAGATAATCAGTGACTGTTCTTTTCAGGTAATGGTGAAAAAAGTGAGTCCAGAGCAACGTCAGCTTCTGGAGAACTCTTCTTATGACCACTGTCAGAAAAAGCTCATTCTCCTGTCTGCTCGGGGCTTTACCAACCTCTTCCAGATACTTGTTAAAGCCAAGAAGGTAAAATGCCTTAACCCTACTCTCATGTTTCATCTCTTTTTAATTTTGCTGTGTTAAATGCAGTATTAAAAATGCTACTGTTACCGTTTGAGTCACCATCTAAAAAAGCTGAGCAGATTCTTGCCTTTTGGGCAAGCTGTGTTTTTAGCATGCGACAGACCAGTTTATTGGACCACGTAGACCATTGGTCAGACTCTATGTGGAAATTCATGCATTCTATATGCAGCTTATTAAATGGACTTCAGCTTTAGAGGACTATGGATGATGTGCAGCAAAGACCATCCCTGTCTTTGTGAGCGAGTGTATAAATCCAATGGCTGGTACCTTGTTCAGCTGAACTGAGAATCCACTTAGCTCCTTAGGTCCACTGAAAATAGAATGCTGCTGAGATAATACCCTCTCAGAGAGTCTACAAGTCTGATTTCCTGCAGGCAGTAGTCCTCCTGTGAGCCTTGCAGCCTGAATGACTCCTGTGCAAGCATGTGTTGATGTTGTCTGCTGGAGTAAAGGGTTGCAGCTGTTGAGTGTGCCAATGTTTGTTTATCTCTGAGCTCTCTTCAGAAACGTGCTACAATGGGCTCTTATGTTTATATTCCTCCGTAGCCCCTGGTGGGACACAACATGCTTATGGACCTTATGCATCTTCACGACAAGTTCTACAGGCCCCTCCCAGGTACTGCTGCGTGTAGCTGCTGCCCAGGCTGCTGCCTCTGCACTGGGGGTGGAACAGGAGGTCCAGTGGCCATTTGCCACCACAGACACCTGCAGGGCTTAGCAAGCAGCAGGGCTGGTTGCCTCTTCTGAGTTCTAAATGCTGGAGAGGGCATTGTTGCCTGCTGTCACTTCTCTTTCCTATTACTTTGCAATTCCAATAGATTTTTCCCAGTTTTCTGATGTCTTTCTCCACACGTGCTTTGCTTTCAGAAAGCTATGAGGAGTTTAAAAGGAACATTCACAACCTGTTTCCTGTCATCATAGACACCAAGACTGTAACAAAATCCGTGCAGAAGGTGAGATGAGTGCCCTATGATAATAACAGAACTGCATCCAGTTCTCAGTGTTGCCTTGGGAAGTTCTAATTTTAGATCTCATTTAACAAATTGGCAATGCAAGTAATCGAACTCACCATAAGGTCTGTCGTGGTTGGTTTTATAATACATTCTTCTTTTATAGAAATGTCTGTTTCCTCGAGTATCTAGTCTTTTGGAGGTGTATGCAGTTTTGTGCAGGTAAGTGGTGGCCAATAGAGCTTTCAGCAATCCCTGTGCCTTCTTTGAAAAGATATTTCACAGTCAGCCATTTCCCATGTTCATACTTTCCTCCTCTCACTTGTTTTTCAATTGAATCCTCATCTTTCTAAATTTAAGAGCAAAGGATTTGCACATCTTTCTTATAAACGAATTCTGTAGTAAATTATTTGTTCTGAGTCACTTGTCGCATTGAGTCACCATTATTTCGTTGGTCACAAGTTTGGTTTGCATACAGCTGTACATGCAGCCTGAGAATTACGTTGCTTATGTCATGTTCTGAAATGAGTAGGATTCATTTCTTGGTGAAAATCCTAATTTCAAATGCCTGTCCTAAGAGAGGACTGCACTGAGCCCAAAGCAGTAATTAAAGACAATGTTCAAATGGAGCAAGAGTACATGTTCTATCTCATGAGCTTAGTCGTGATGTGGTAGGAGACTTATTTCACACTTCTTTTGTGAAATAATCTTTTCCATGTCAATTTTGCTAAGGAAAGGAAAATTTTGCCTGTTTCCCATTACCCCCTAGTCCCAAGAAAGAGATGCAAAATTAATATTTTTTTAAAAACAGTACTGGGATTCTGAGGGTTTGTTTATTAGCAATTTCACACTGCATATTCTGCTTGATTGTTCTTTCTTTTATTTCAGTCATTCCAGGGGTATGTGTTTATCCTTCAGGGTTCCCCGTTGAAACAGAACCATCTAGTCAACCTCTTTCCCTGCAGTTTTAGTTCTTCTCACTTTTCTTTTTTTTTGTATGCAATTAGATTTGCTACTATGAGTTTTGAGTGAGGGAAGAAACTAAGGAAGTATTTAGGAGTTAGTTTTCAGGAAGAAGACTGGTAGATATTATTCGAGTAAGTATTTTGGACTTTTCCAAGAGGCCCACCAAAGTTCATTTTAAAGTCTCCAGTAGCTTTTTCTGAAATGAAGCTACAGGTCACTAGAGAACGGTAACTTTAACATACTGAGGAAAGACAAAAATCTCACACATCCACTTGTCTTCAGCAGCAACCTAAATCCCAAAGATCCACCGTGCCCTGTTATAGCTCTTGCAAGTGGCTGCTCAAGATACGGTATGTTTTTAAGCAAATCTTCACAGTCAGATAGATGAAAATAAATTTGTTGTACTCTCTGGGTATCCACATGTAAAGCATGAGGAAATGCCAGTGGGTCTGCTGAATCTGCCCAGAGCTGCTGGTACACATTTTTGTCCAGACCCAAAGCCTGGGCTCCCAACATATCTGTTCTGCATGTCCCTGGTAGCTGCTGAGGGTAATGCAGGGCAGGTTTTCCTCGTGCTGCTGGTACAGACAGCATTTACACCAAGTTGGGATGAACAGAACATAACTTGGGCTGTGAAGAGTCAGCAGCCCTTGGAAGGGGCAAGGCTATGTGTGAAACAGCTATCTTAGAAGGGAAAGTAGAAGGAGCTCGATGGCTGGTGTGGAGGGTTAGTGATGCCTGTGCAGGAGGCTGTGTCCAGGACATGGTGTGATACTGGCTGTAAGGCAGATGTTTTCTGGTTTCTCCTGGCAGCATTGTGTCTTACAGCACAGGGCATCCTGTGTTTTGAAATGGTTCCCATACCATCAATAACATAAATGACACAGTTTGGTTTAGACTTTCATGAAAGTTAAAATGTTTTAATGTGCATCTTGCTAAGCTTTTCAGACATTCATGTAACTGCTGCTTCTTTTTTGGTGGTGTTTTAAAATGCATGCTAGAAGCACAGACTTTTTACCGAGTGTAAAGTTTTCAGAGTGAGGAAGGAAACAGCTGAGGGGAGGGGGAAAAGAACCCTCAGAATAGTGGATCTTATGAATCAGGATTCTGCAGTGTAGTGGTTTTCACAAGCATGCTAGATGTGTTTTCTTCTTCTTGATTTTGTTGGACGCTTACAGCTGAGAAGAAATCTCCTCATGAGGCAGGCTATGATGCATTTCTCTGTGGTTCAGGTAAAATGCTTCTTAAAACCTCCTTGAGAATTTGTGTTGGGATTTGGCAATCTTTTCCTTCTCTCTAGATCTATTTGATGCTAGGAAATATTTGTTTATATACAGTCTGTTGCTCTTAGTAACTTAGCTGCACTTCAGTGCATTTTTGCTTTCTATGTATTTAGCTGTGTTTCTCTAGCTTTCTCCTAATGCTATCTCATTATTCCTTTCTCTAGTTCTTCTGATGTCAGCTCATTTGCTACTGTGCAGATCCACAGAGTGAGTAATGTATAAGTGTTGACTGAAAATTGCATTACATGGGAGGTTTTCCTATGGAAAACAGCCTTCCATTTGCTCTGGCTGACTTTTTGTTTCACAGGCTGGCCTTCCTTTTGGACAAAAGAAAGTGTTATTGGAAATGTCATCTTCTAATTAGATTTATATTTTATAAATCTGAAAGTAGTAGTTTTATGTCAAAGCTGACATTTTAAAAATGAAATCAGGGGCCATGTGATCTCTCAGAGGTTGGGAAATGACATTGTGACTTCTTTGTTCTTGAACAAGCTCTTTCAAGTTCAGTTCACTTGGGTAAGGGTCAAATAATTTTCCATTAGTTTCCATTTTTGAAATCTCTGAATCAGTGCCTTCAGTTAAGTTCCTTTTTCATGCAGCTTTTTGACTTCTGTAGGAAGATACTAAGATCTGAAATATCTGTTCTGTCACTAGTTGAAGAGCTTGACACTGTGTAGCAGTGCAACACTGGAGAAACAAAACTTTGTTCTCTTTTGTTTTGTGATTTAGTGGTGCAGTGGACACTGAGCCTTCTTTCTCGCAGTATCTCACCGTGTTAGCTGAGCACGTGAACAAAGTGAATTTCATCCGAGGTGGTGTTTCAAGCATTGTGCGTATGAATTGCAGGTCTGTGACCTGTTTGTGGGGTGCATAGGTCAGTAGCCTACTTGGTAGCATCCTTAGAGGAGAGGAATCCACTGGTACTGGGGCCCACCTTGGCAGAAATTGTCATCATACAAGTGACACAGTGGACCTTTTAAAATGGCCAGTGAGTTGAATTTCTGCTGTGCAAAATGTATTCATGCTGTTATTCTGTATGATGGCATTAGCCAGACTACATCACTGTTTCTCAGGTAGTTTCTCCATGGTAGTCGTGACAGTTTGCTTTTATGATGATATTTAGATGAATCTTGGGGCAAAAAAAAATAAATTACACCAACAGCAGTATTATACCGCCTGTCATTTATTTGTCATGTTCTGAATATGTTCTGATTATAATACTAGTGCCTCTATAGTATTTCCAAATTCAAGTATGTCTCAACATTTTCCAGAATTTTTCTGGGGAAGATGCTCCTTGCCGTCATCCCCCTGCCTTGGTTGTTCATGTCCGAGGCTGGCCAGTGCTGACAGAGAGACAGATTTACCAAGAGTTTAAAGCTCGCTGTCGCTTCGATGTTAGACGGCTTTCAAAGAACCAGTTCATTCTGCTCACCAATAAACACAAGCAGTAAGTGATCAGAAAGTCTTAATTTTCAGTCCTTTCTTCCCCTGCTCCAAGCCTTTGTTTCACCCTCTCTCTGCTGTGACAGCTCTTGGATAGAAATTCCTGCCCTGAGCTGTGGGGTGCTGTAAGCAGCCTGCGGGCTGAGCTGAAGCCATGCTTTCATTGCAGTGTCAGGCTCGTCCTGCGGGATTACAGGCACCACCCTCACCTGCAGGTCTCCGTCTATCGCCACTGGAGGCACTCGCCGAGCGTGAACTGCCTGCTGCAGTGAGTTGTGGGAGCACGGGAATGGGGCGGCGGCAGGGAGTGGGGGAGGAAGCATTCCTCTCAGGTCCGAAGCCCTGGCACAGCAGCAGCCTGCCACGTGTTTGCAGTGTCCTCCCGCCAGCTCCTTGGAGGAACAAGGCACTCAGAAGCAGGTTTGTTTGCCGACTGGCTGCTTGTGAGCTTTCAGCCCTGGGCGACTGGACTTTAATCTCACTCATGGTTAATCCAGGAATGTTACCCTGTGGATAGCACAAAACTGTGTATGTGCTGTCACAGCAGAGAGGTGGTATTCTTAATGAGCTGTAGCACCAGCTCTAATAAGATTGATGAGAGGGAGGCAGAATCTCAGGTGTGGGATGGATGTGGGTTTTTTTCTACAGCTGAGTTGAAAGCTCGGTAGAGGGAGAGAATTCCAGATTCAAACTACACCCCTCTTGTGAGGTGCTGATAGTGATGCTCATGAAGGGTGAATTTGTGCCTTGACATGGTTTGGAAAATAATCTAAGGGCTTAATAAACACAAAATTAAGCCATAAATATAAGTAACCTAACAGTATTTTATTACTCTTGTCTCTTAGAATCTCTGGTATTGTGGCACTGTGGTCTCTCTTGGCCTTTGCACTTGGAGGAGCTCGTAGCTGTTGACTTTAAAGGACTACTGTAAAGATGAGACATGATGAATGCTGATGTTATTTCTTGTGTTTGTCTATTTTGTTTTGTTTCATACAATAAAAGATGAGAAAAATTAACGAAAAAAAACCCCAAAACTATGATTACTGTCTGAATTGTTTTCTTGGAAATCTGTTTTTTAAAGGGAGTGTGTTGATTTGCAATTTGTGGTATTTTATAATCTGCTCAAAGCATCATCTCCTGAAGGGGGAGATGATTGTTTCAATGCCTAATTTACTTTGGTCCTATGTAGGTTCTTCACAGCTGTTCACATCCTCAGTTTGTTCCCAGTGCTGGTGCTTGCTGTGTAAAACACATTTCTGATAAAGTTTGGGAAGTTATGAAATGCAAGGTGCTATTTTTAGCTTCGGTTGTAATGCAGGGGAAATGTCACTGTTTACCAAATGAAAAGGGGCTTATGACAGATTCTTGGGAATAGTAAGTAATTTGCAGTGCTGTCAGTGCAGTGTCATGCACTGTTTTTTTCAGTGGCAGGGTTGCTGAGGTTTGACACAGATAAGTGGAATTTATCAGGTTCCAATTTGTGGAGTATAAAGAGGTCAGGTGGGTCTGCACATATTTCTGTTTGCTTCTAGTGCACAGCATGAGACATGCTTTGTGGATCAGTTTCTCTCGATATAGCTGGGGTATTTGTCAATCCAGGGAGTTTGGTCTTCAGAGATTTTTCTTATTAATCTCCTTCTCTTCTTTAAAATAACCTGTTGATCCAGGGTTTCCATATAATGGTTCCTAGATGTCATTAGTCAGACTTAATTGGATGGGGCCCATGCTCACCTAGTAGGCAGAACCTGCCTTTAATTGAGTGTAACGTGGGAGTTGCTGCAGGGAACCTTACGGCAGCAGCACAGCACTGCTGTGTGCTTGAGGATCACGTGCTCTCTGCTGCTCATGAGGGGAAAAGGGCAACACATCTTCAGATGTGATTGTTGAGTTTTGCACAGCTTGTGGTTTACAGCTCTTGTTTCATAAACAAGCTTCTACAAGACAAGTAACTGACTTCCTGATGACCTTTTTTACAACCCTTCAGCGGTGAGGTTCTCTCTCACAGTGCTCCTTCAAATACCAGTGTGTCTCCCTGCTTATTCTGTAATGTTAGGTTGTCTTCTAGCATCATTAGACACCCCCCCTTGTATCAAGGAGAGCACAGGCTCTTCGTGTTGTGTAGGTTGAGGAAGATTGTCTTTGGGTGTTACATACAGTAGTGTGTGTTTTCACATGAAACCGCTCTTCTTGGCTTATGAGCTGGGAAACATAATACTCTTGTTCTCCAGAGTCTGGATTCAGCTATTAAATGTGGGGAGACAAAGCCTCACTTGTGTCTAATCTTGACAGTCTGGGGATCATGAAGATACAGATGCTGTTACCTATGAGAAGCCCAGCAGTTTTTAAGGGAGCATGCACTTTGAAGGAACAAAGAAATTGTTCTGTCTTTAAATTTTGTTCCTCCCATTTTCTTCTCAGAGTGGCACACAGACAAAAATGACTCAGTTCCCTGCAGTGCTATTCTCTCTCTTGATTCACCCTCTGGAGAAGCACACTTCCCTGTGAACAAGTAGAGATCCTCTCACTGTTTTTGGAGAAATAGCCTATGGTTCTGACCATGTGTTTTCCATTTCCAAGAGGCACACACACCTCATGTAGCAACGTGGTGTAGTGAATCAAGAGACTTGATTTTCCTGCTTCAGAGCTGGGAGAAATAAGTGACAAGTGCTGTAGAACTACGCGATGTTTTTAGTACAAATCAGCTAAGTTTACGTGCAGAGTAAAAATATGAAGAGATCAGAGTGAGTTGAGTATGTTCTGGTCTTCTAAGGAAAGACTTTAGAGAAACAAGTTGCCTTTCTTTAATAATTAAGGGTCACTTGCTGCTCAGAGCCTCTTAGAGAGCTCATTGAGATGTACTGGCAGTCAATTCCAATGAAATGTGTTAGCTGGAGGCTAGTCAAACAAATCAGAGCACAGACATTTGGCCCTGGGAACAGAGCTGCAAGTCTTTCTGAGCAGCTGTTCATCAAGGCACAATCTTCCTGAATACATCAATTTGGCCAATCCAACCTCAGGCGTTGCTTTTGCTCCAGATTAGGGAATTCTTACTAATTGAACTTGGAAGTATCCGAAGTATTTTACGTTATGCCTGTTCCTGCCTGTCTCCTTGCAAGGAGTAGGAGATGATTTTGATTCTTGTGAGGCCAATTCATGGTGGTGCAACCTGACTTGTAACTCTGGCCCTGAACAGATGCATGTCAGAGCTTCTGAGTTGTTCTGAGGGCTGGCAGTTCAGAAAATCAAACCTGTCTCCCTTAGAGAGTGGTAAAACCGCAGCAGAGTGCCTAGCAGCACACCTGCCTCTTAGCACCGTGAGAAATCCGTGCTTTAGCTGCAAGGCTTGAAAGGATAATTCCAACCATCAACGAAAAAAAAAAGTTAAAATTCAAGTTGTGAAGATGTATGCTAAAAATATAGCCCTGCAAATGGAACACTGCAGATCAGAATGTATTTATTTACAAGAACAATTTGATTTTTGATACATAAACTTTTTAAAAATGTCTTCAAGATTAAATATGTGAGTTTTGATTTAACATCTCTACTCCAATGAGAAGGCATGGAAAAGGCAGAACTATATCTAAATATTCCTCTGTTCTTGCTGCTGCTCATTGCTTCAGTAGTAATAGGCCAGATTTCAGCTGGCACTGGAGGATAGGAGAGCAGGATTTACCTCTCTGAAAAGATAATTTTTTCATCTAGAAGGAAATTTTGTATAGTTCTGTGTTTTCAAATGGTGTGAATCAACATTTTTTCTTCACAATATGCTTTCATTCAAAAGCCATCATAGCAGAGAACCTTGGAATGGGGAGGTTGCAGATGTCTTGCTGGATGAATGAAGTGCAGCAGCCTGGTGCCAAATGCCAGCAGTGCTCAGCCCCTTGAGGGGAGGTTCCCTCACGAGCCAGAATGGTTTTGGCTGTGTTGCAGCACCACAGCTGGGTCAGAACTCTGTGTGCTGATGAAATGACTGACAAAGTTTCCATATGCCTTAGACGTGGGAAAACCCTGCTGTGCAACTGCTCTGTTAACACATTTTTGTGGTGTTCTTTTATATGCAGCAGCAAATCTGTCTTTTATTTTCTGGTTTTTATCTCCCTTTTTCCCATGGCTTTTCCCAACAGCCCCTCTCCACTGGTTGGTGTTCTCCAGCACTGGAGAACACCCCCCAGGAAAGCTGAGGATAGGGGCAGTGCATGAAGTGTCATGGGTGTATTTCTTTCAACAACTCTTATGCTTAAGGAAGAGGGGGTGATTGTACCCAGTCTGGCACAAGGGACCCTTGCAAGGGGAATGTTGCATCAGCCCAGTGCCATCTGAAAGGCGTCTCTGTAAAGGCCAGACCAGCAATGCTGGGGAGAGCCCAGATCTCCGATGCCTTGGCTTGCTGGAGGTGTGGCATGGCTGACACCTGTGCTGGCTGTCCTGCAGAGCTGTCACCACACACCCTGGGAGCGCTGGTGGAGAGCGACCCACACGAGTGTGTGTCAGTGCTGTGTTAGAAAAGCTGTGGCTGAGCAGCAGGGCGGGGAGCAGGACCTGTGCCCCCAGAGACAGGTGAAGCTCATGGCACAGAACATGGCCAAGGATTGCTGTGGTGCACAGAGTGGAAGGAGAATGTATGCGGGCAGAAGCCATGAAAAGATTTTCTTCCAGAGGCCCCCGAGGAGCTGGGAGTCTGGTGCAAGGCAAGAGGCCATGAAAAGTGGAGAAGAGTTGTAGTAGTCAGGATACATGAAGGATGAGGGAGAATTTATGCCCAGTGTCTCATCTCATGCTTTCTCTTGCTGCAGAAACTACCTTGTTCAAGCTTGTGGTTTTAACAAAACCAGTGCTTAAAGTATTATGGGATTGCCTTTGGGCTTCCCTTCTGGGAGGGATCTTGGCACAGTCCTGTCTCTGAGGGGTACCTGGGCTGGGGTTGCTCCCTTTTAAGCACAGACACAGTATGCAGAAATACTCCCACCCGACATTCAGACCCCTGCCCTGCAGCAGGGGAATGAGACTCATATCCTGAGAGAAGGTGGATTCCAATCCCACCAGCATCCTAACAAGCAGGTGAGTAGTTGGATCCTCTTGGACTTTCTCCCCAGCCAAATGAGCATATAAACAGATGTTTTACCAAAGATAAGATGAAGCTAGGACTTCTGCACCACTTCCTCCCCATGGAGGACAGCTAAGAAGCCCCTCCAGACACAGGAGTGATTGGCACTCATTCTCCTGTTTCTGGGGATGGCTGTGTTAATCCATTGACCTTCCATGGCCAAGCTTTAAATGAAAATGGCAATAGCAAATGTATTGGCAAAGAGCCTCATGTCAGTGACGTAAGTTAGGCTGGCTTTTAAAATATCTGTGGGATGGAACTCTGTGGAAGGTAATAGCTACTATGCAGGAGAAACACATCCAGTTAAAAAGCAAAATAAAAGAGTGCTATTTAACACTTAAAGACAGCTTATTAAACATCACCCAGGCATACACAAATTCAGGAAATCCTAAAACTAAACTAAGCCTAAACTTCCAAGTTTGGACCTGGTCCACCCATGAACACTCCTGGAGTTTACCTGGGCTTATAAGCAGCGGAAGGATAATCTGCAATCCTCCTTTTGAATTTTGAAGTAATACAAATTATTTTACTTGCCCCATAAAACTTAGCACTAGTGTTTGGACAGATCTGTCACATGTTCTGACCTTGCTTGAAAAGGTGCTGCTAGAAATTGCTGCTTTGCCTCCAGCTTTTAGTTAACAAAGATTCAGCTGTCTTAATTTCTCACCATTTAACAAGATGCTTGCTTACAAGTGCAGCCAGCCTAACCAAAACAGGCAGTCATTTGCTCACTCTGGAACTCATCTGTCCTGTGCATGAAACATGTACAACTGACCTTGCCATTCCTACATAAATGTGAGGATTTGCAAACCCACAGGCTCCCACAGCTGCCTGCAGTGCTCAAAATTTGCCCCCTCCCCTGGGATGCAGGACAGAAGCAGCTTGATGTAATTGTTCCACAGGGCCACTGGGTCATGGGAAGCAGTGCC